TCATATCATTTGAGAAAAAGGATAATTACAACTTTTCCTTTCCAATTTTGATGTATTTTATTATACCTAATTGTTTTGGTTGGGACTTCTATGTTGAATATTCACATTTTTATTGAAGTGATTTTCTTCTACTTTTCTTCTACTTTTTTGTTGAATATTATTTGTATAATGAAGTGGTAAATTTTGCCAAATGCCATTTGTGTATCAGTTGATAATGATGTGATTTTTCTCACCCTTTATTACAATGATTGATTTCATGCGTTTACCTTTCCTTGCATTTCGGAATAAAACATACTTGATTACATTGTATAATCCTTCCAAATTGTTGGATTTGTTTTGCTGAAGAATTTTTCATCATTGATCAGATATTTGGATTATAGTTTTCTTCCTGTGTCTGTCTGATTTGGGTATCAGAATAATGTAAACAGAGAATGAATTTGAAATATTTCTTCCTACTCATTTCTTTGGGAGAGGTTGAAAATGGAGTTAATTCTTTAAATTTTGGTAAATTTCTTCAGAAAAGCCATGTAGTCCTGGACTTTTCTTAGTTGAAAAGTTTTTGATTGCTGGATCCAATTTTTGACTGGTTTTTAATTTTATTCTGCTGTGGTTGAAGATACTTTCTATAATTTTATTCTTAAACTTTTTGACACTTCTTTTGTGACCAGCCTTGTATGTATTATATTTTTATGTGTATCTGAACTTCTGGTTTTAATTTTGAAGTGTTTTCTGTTTCATTTTCCATAATGTTTGTCTCTTCAGTGTATAATTTTCAAATAATTTGAAGATTAATAGACTTTTTTAGTTGTACATTTACAGAAAATTTGAGCAGGATAGTGTAATATTTGCATATTTTTGCCTAAGTTTTTCATACTATTAATAAATTAGTGTGGTACATTTGTTAAAATTAATGAACAAATATTGTCATATTATTACTAAAGACCGTAATTTACACAGATTTCCCTAGTTTTTACCCCATCTTATTTTTTTCTTTTCCAGGATACTCCATTATATTTTGTTGTCATTTTTCTTTAGGCGCCTCAAGACTTTGTTTCTGATGATCTTAACAGTTACCTCTGGCCGGGCGTGGTGGCACACTCCTGTAATCCCAGCACTCGGGAGGCTGAGGCAGGAGAATCGCTGTGAGTTTGAGACCAGCCTGGGCTACAAAGTGAGTTCCAGGTCAGTCTCAACTACATAGTGAGACCCTGTCTCAAAAAACAAACAAACAGAAAACCCCCCAAAAAACAGTTACCTCTGAAGTGTACTGGTCAAATATATTGTAGGATTTCCTGTGTTGGGTTTGGTGTTTTTCTGTTGATTACGCTGTGGTTATGAATTTGATATATTTGACATTTTTTTAAATTCTTAATATCTTGATGATGTAAAACTAGGTGCATTAATCTCTTTAAGTAGTTTTCTCTTTTGTACACCTTTCTCAGTGCTTAAACAATATCCCAATTATACTTTTTAGGTGTTAATTTAAAAACACTTTAATATTACTTTTCTTTGTAAGATCTTCTTTCTGTACTATTATCAAAAGGATAAAAAAGCTAGGTATGGTATCTTAGGATAGGTAGTTATCTTATCATTCTGGGAAACAGAGAGAGGTTCCCAATTACAGCCCAGCCTGGGCAAATTAGTGGTTAGGGAGACCCTTTGTCAAAAGAAAAAATAAAGCGGGGGGGGGGGGGTGTAGCTCAGGTTGAAGGTCCTGGATGAGTCTCAAGTACCAGGGATAATAAAAAAGATGAAAGATAAGAAGGGTTGGTAAGGGCATGGGGAAAGGGAACCCTTTTGCATTATTGTTGAGAATGTGAGTTAATATAGCCATTATGCAAACTGGTGTGGAGGTGCCTAAGAAAACAACAAACTAGAATTATCATATGATCCAGTAATTCCAGATTCTGGATTTATGTTCAAAGGAGGTGAAATCACTATGCTGAAGAGGTTTCCATATTCCTGTATTTATTGCAATATTAATCATAATAGCTAAGATTGGGAGGCCCATCCTTATATGAGTCAATAAAATGTATGGGCAGAATGGAATATTGTTCATCCTCAAAAGAAATTGAGCCATTAGTATCAACAGGATGACTTTATGCTGGAGTAGCGTAAGCTATGTGAAAAGCCAGTCACAATGACAAATACCACATGATCTCACTTGAATGAAGAATCTAAAAATGTTGAGAATAGAGTGGTGTTTACCTAAGGCTGTGTGGAGATGGAGCAGTTAATAGAGAAAGGGACAGTGTCGATCCATGGATATAAAATTTCAGGAAGAATAAGCTTTCATAATTTGTTGTGCAAAGTGATGAGGTATAATTGAATGGAGCAATATAATATTTTACTGTAGTTGGTTTATATGCATGTGTGGTATTTTTATATGCCTTTATTTTTATTGTAGCGAATGTTCCTGACAAAATTTACCATTTTAACCATTTTTAAGTATATAGAAAAGTACATTTATGTTGTTGTTGCAACCATATGTATCCTTTTTTGGTATATTAACCTGCTTGGGCTGCCATAACAAAATAACAAAGAGTTGGTGGCTTAAACAATAGTTCTGAAGACTGAAAATTCAGGATCAACATATTGGCAGGTTTTGTTTCTCCTGGTGCCGCTTGTCCTATAGATAGCCTTTCTTCTGCTTATGCATGCCTGGTCTCCTTTCTTACAAGGACCTTTCATACTGAATTAAGGTTGCATCCTTGTGATCTCATTTAATTTGCTTTCTGAAACCCTTTTATTCAAATACAGTTAGATACAGAGTTAGAGTTTTGGAGGGAAGAGTAGAGTTCAGTTTATAATACCCTTATGTAAGAGATGCTTCTAATTCATTTCCTTGGAAGTCTACTTTTGTTAGTATCTGTGTTTCTTATGGCTGCTCTAACTGATTAGCACAACATGGGTGGCTTAAATAAACTGTAGAAGTTCATTCTCTTTCAGTTCTAGAAGCCAGAATTCTGATGGTATTATTAATTACAAGACCAAAATCAAACTGTTGTTGAAGCTGTTTTTCCTTTGGAGGCTCTGGATGACTGTTCTTTTTTTTTATTTTGTCTTTTCGTGATGCTGGTGTTCCTGACTGTGACCATATCCCTCCAGTCTTCAAGACCAGGCTTTTCTAATTTTTATTGCCTGTCTTTTCTTTGCCTCCTCTCTCGGTGGAGACAGTTTTCCCCCCGACAAAGATAGATATGATTGCACATAGAGCCTATGTAGATAATCCAGAATTATTTATCTCATAATTTTTCAAATTTCTTAATGAGATTTACAGAGATCTTAGTTTTCCTTTGACATATAAAGTAATACCTACCAGAGATTGGGAGTGGTTATATTTTGGGGGTCACTTTTTAGCCTATCAAACTTGGCAATTTATAGTGGACTTCTAATGTTTTCACTTTCATTTATAGTGTATGGTTTGTTTAAAGGCACCAGAGTCATTGAAGTTGATGGCACTTGGTGGCAGAGAGAATATTCTCAACTCTGGGATTGCAGGAAATTCTAGGTCTTCTGTTTTTAGTGTGGTCCCCAATATAGCATCACTGTCATCTTAGGAACTTAATAAATTTATAGGCTTCAGTGGAAACTGGGAGGCAGTGCTTAATATTTGTATTTTAAATCCTTCAGGTGAATCTGATGCACACTAAGTATGAGAACCATTTTTGTAGATTATTGACACCATTAGTACTGAACTTGTGTTTGTCAGCAACTCTTCTGCTTAAGTCTAGTACTTAAAGGATTTCTGGGACAGGGATCTATCTTAGTGGCACTGCACCTGCCTCGCAAGTGCAAGGTCCTGAGTTTGATCCCTGGTACCAAAAAAATAAAAAAGAAATGATTTCTGGCTCATAAACTTTGTTTTCTATAAGGTTAGAAATATTTCTTGGTACTAATGAAATTAAATAATTTACTCTAAAAGATTGAACTGGGGTGATTTTTTATTATATTTTTACTTTGATGTGGAACAGTTATAGTAATCTGCCTTGAGAACTGAAGTGTGATGGTGTGATCTTTTGAGGGTAGACAATTCAGAGTAAAAACAGGCTTGTTTCGTGGTGGGGGAGGTGACATGTAATGGTTAGGGTAAGACAATACTGAATTTTCCAAATTTGTGAAATGTGGTAAAATATAAATACGTAGAATTTTTTTTTTTAGCTAAATCCCCAGCTGAATAGGTAGATTTTTGATAGGTACATTTTCAATAGTATAAATTGATTTTTATGAGGTTGAGGATTAAATAGAAGCAGCACAGGATTATTAGTATATGCTATTTTCCTGAATAATGATGCTTAGCATTAGTACTTCAGTGTTAGATATAATTAATATTAGTATATTTTATGCTATCTTATACCCCTTTTATCTTCAGCTTTTGGATGTGGTTTTTGGTATGTATATAATAATTAGAAATACTAACTTAGAAAGATGTCTTAATATAGTGAGCCTAGCTTCTACATCCATGAATTCAGCCAACCCTAGACTTAAACTATGTAGAAAAAATAGTTGTGCCTATGCCAAATATGTACATACATTTTTCATGTAATTAGTTCCTAAGCAATGCAGTGTAACACCTATTTATATAGCATTTACAGTGTATTTGGTATAAGTAATCTAGAGATAATTTAAAGCATAGAAAAGTAATATACATAAGTTTTGTGCAGAGACCATGCCATTTTATGTAAGGTACTTGAGCCTCTGCAGATTTTGGTATCCTTGAGGGTTCTTGGAAATAGAATGGCTATGAACCTTAACTGTTGCCATTGCTATGCTCTGAAAATTAATAAAAACAAGTTATAAAAATTTTTTTAAAATTTTGTTCCTTACAAAAGGTACTTAGCAGTATTTTTTTCGTAAGTTACAGTGATCATGTTTTAGTTGAAAACTTTTTAGGTATTTTATTAAGAAAACAGTTTGTAGTTTTTCATTTAAATGAAAAATGTAGTTATTCATACTGGAAGCAAAAAAACTAAACAATGGTTTTACATGTATCCTTTTAGGTTTGATTTAATTTCGGATGAAATTTTTCCTGCAGCAAGATGTTAATAAGACAAAATCTAGGTAAGTAGAAAATTTGTTTAATGTTACATATCAAGGTAGGAATGATATGGAAAATTTGTTTTAAAAAAGGCCATCAGGTGGGCATGGTGGTGCATGCCTGTAATCCCAGCACTTGGGAGGCCAAGGCAGGAGGATTACTCCCTGAGTTTGAGGCCAACCTGAGCTGCACTGTGAGTTCAAGCCTAAACTACATTGTGAGACCCTGTCTCAAAAAACCAAAAAAAGGAAAAAAAAAAGCCTTCAAGTCAAGAATAAAAGAATGTTTAAATAAAAATTTGAAAAATGAAAAATTGACCTTTTGGTATACTTGGTTCAGTTGATAGGAGTGAGAAAAAAAAAAAACACAACATCAAATTGTGACTAAATTCTTAGATTTTCTTCTTTTGTGTTAAGGTCATCCAAGCATAGAAGGTTCCAGTGACCTAACATGTTAAAAAATGAAGATGATGTTTGGTTTAGTCACTATTACTGAACTCTCTTCAGATCAGTATAACATTTATTGGATTACTTTATTGCTTTTCTTAGTTCATGTAGTATATGAGTAGTCTTTTGTTTTCACACATTCTACTTTGTTATATTTATTAATGAAAATCTCCAAGAACGGGGAGTATTATCTCAGTGGTGCTGTGCCTACCTTGCAAGTGCAAGGTCCTGAGTTCAATCCCTGGTACAAAAAAGAAAAATGCAGATTGTGACTTTTTTGTTAATGTAGTCTTCAGAATTGTAAATTATTATCTTAGTGCTTTTCTTGCGGGTATGTCTACTGATTGACTTTTCTAATGTAGCATTCTGATTTGTTTTCTAAGAGTGTTAAATTTCAACAGATCGAATTGTACCCTGGCATGGTGGTATTTGCCTGTCATCCCAGCACACTGGGAGGCTGAGGCAGGGGAATCATGAGTTTAAGTCTAGCATGGGCAACTCATGAGCCCTGGACTCATTCTCAAGTGCTACCAAAAATTTTTTTAAAATTAGCATTAGTTATGTAAAATAATGTATTTTAATAGTATATAAGCTGTTGATAAATGTGTTTATTATTGACAAGTGAATATATAACTTCAGGATATAGAGTGAAAAGAATGCACTGGTAACATTTCATTTAACTTAGCTTTTCTCCAATCTAAGTAGATATCAGAAAATCTACTGGCCAGTTGTCAGTTGTCAGTTGTCAGAATATTTGCCAGTGTCAATGTTTGTTTAAAAAATGCACAACGTGAGATGTGCTATAATTAAGTAATGTATATCTAGATAATGTCATCTTCAGTCCATGATTTAGGCATGCTTTGAAGCAAAAATTTCATTTTATTGCTAGTATGTAATAATGATTGTAGTTTAAAAAATACAGATTGTGCTGTGTATTGTGTTAAGTGTTTCTCATTCCTTTATTAGTGTGATACCTCTTATTTAGTAGGTACTGCTATGTAGAAAACAATTTTTTCTTTTGGAAGAGGACTTTATTTTTGTAGCATTTATTATAAAGATCTTCTTGAAGTGGAGAAGCCAAGTTTTGTGTCTGAATATCTTATAAGGAATTTGTTTGCTAGTTGAATATGCAGTGGAACCTTTCTTCTGATAACTTACGTGCTTGGTGGTTGCTTATAGGATGACACTGGTTTATTGACCTATTTTTACTACAGTTGTATGTGTACTTTTTTCTTTTTATCACGGTATAAGTTACATATTGTAACTTGTAAAATTTAAAATATAGAGCCAAATGATTTTTAAATTCTTACCTATAACTACATCTAGATGAAAATACAAAAAAAAAATTCATTATCATAGAGAGTTTCTTGTGCTCTTCCCCTTTTTAATACAATAACTTCTCTTGAGGTAAGCAGCTTTTAAAAATCTATCAGTATAGATTTAGTTTCAGTTTTCTTGGCATTTATATATGTAAAGTTTTTTATATATATATGGTTTATCTTGTTCAACATGTTTTATTGAGTTTCATCCATGTCATTGTAAATATATATGGTTTATTTTTATTGCTTATTAATACTCCATTGTGCAAGCATAATAAAAATTATTTATATTGTCTGTAATTTTGTTTATTGGAGTTTCCAAATCTGGTCTTACTTGCCAACTTTTGTACACTGCTTTCTTTCTTTTGCTTGTCTCTTATTTTTTCCCATCATTTGCATGATAAAATGCAAGCCTAATAATACAGCATATAATCATTTCACTGCAGCTATGTCCCATGCCTGGAATTACATGAAAAAATTAAGTCTGATATTTCAGACTTGTTCTAGCCCTAAGTATATGTTGTAATAACCCCTTGTCTCCTTGGTTTCTAATGTCGTTTCTCCTGGTTATCAGCTTTTCTTCTGAAGTAGTCTATTTCAAGTAACATCTTATAGCTCATAAGAGCCAGGCCTGGCTGCACTACAGTTGTAGTGTCTTTTATTAAAGTATAAGTTCTTTGCAGATAGACACCATGCATGTCTCATTTTTCTTACCTTAGTGCTTAGGTACTATATGCACTAAATATTTGTTATACATAGGTCAAGAAACAGAATTGTCTCTTTCACAAACATTGAGGATGATTTCTGGAATAGGATAGCAGCATTAACGTTTGAGTTTCTCTTTGGCTACAGGAAGGAGCCAGTTAGGGCAATCTAGAGGCAGCATTATGGGTGTTTTGTAAAGAGAAAATATTCTCAAAGTCTTCTTTCAATCCAGCTGAAGTAAAATGGCTAGTGATATTTTTAGTTAAGTACTTCAGACTTAGTGTCATTGTTGATTTTGATAACTTCACAAGCAAAGGAATTAATCTGTGTACTGGAAATTGAAGTGTTTGCTTTTTGAGCATTGTATATGTAGGTGTAGATATTTCTTTAATTTGAAGATTTATAAAGCTGTATTAGACTAATAAAAGTAGAAGATTGGGCCAGGGATTTAGCTCGGTGGTTCTGCCGCCTGCCTCACAAGCACAAGGACCGATCCCGGTACCAAAAAATGAAAAAATAAAATAAAAATTTAAAAAAGTAGAAGATTACAAAGATAGTTAAGAAGTGAAGAAAACTTTTCCTCATTTTCCTGAAAGGAAAAAATAAGGAAGAAATTGAAGAATTGTGGTCTAGAACTTTAATAACATTTCTGATTTCTATAGGTTAGGATGCTTGCTGTTTTCTGAAAAATATTTTTGAAAAATTTTTTTCATTATGGATCTGTAATGTGATATATGCAATATAATTTTTAAGAAATGAAACATTAAAAAAAGTTTAGGACATTTTGACTTGTGTTTTTCTTCTGTATTTGAAATTTGTCTAGTTGGGTTGGCTATAGTAGTCACCTTGGACTTACACACCTGAAGCCTGATTGCCTGTTAGCAAGTTCAAAGCAAGAAAAGATTCTTCCCTGATGGTTTCAATTTGTTGCTTTTCCTCTGGGAAGCTTTTGTTTTAGAGGTTGAATAGAGGGTTGGATATAGATGGGTTCAGTCTCCCTACAAAGATTTTTAGACATTATTACCAAATTTAGAACCTTGATTATCTTTTGTAATAAATGTAAAGTATGTCAAGTTTTTTAGTTGATTTGAGTAATTTCAGACTGTTTCATTTATGTGTCTTTCTGAGATTTTAGACTAATTTTTCTCTTCAGAGGGTGATGAGTATGGGTAACTCAGTTTCAGAATCTGACTCTTCATCTGAGATGGGCCCTGAAGAAAAAAATTGAATTTTAATTAGAGGATGATCAGGGCAAATAATGGGTAGAGAGGGCATAGACTAAAGCTTTTGATTTAGTTTTTGGAAATTATTTCATAAAAGTTTAACTGGATATTTATATTGACAAGTTTAGTGACATTTTCTTAAATATGCTAAAATTTATATTTTACTATAGATCAAGAATTCATTGTTTGACTATTCCTGGTTCTCTTTTTCAAATTTTTTAAATGATTTTGAACCCATCAAGAAATAAATAATACTTCAAAAGTCTCCGTATTGATATTAGTTTAACTATTTCTGCATTAAACTTTAGACAATGAGATTTCTAAAAAGTGACTGTCTTTAAGGAAGATAAAATAGAATTAGAACCAAAATCTTCTATCTACAGTTGATTTGAGATAACTATTAAAACTGGTATTTTAAACTTTTTTAGATCTAGTTTAGCTGAGACCATGAGCTTCCCTGTCACATGGTTGGTGCTTAGTAACCATTTGTTTTATGAATTGGTTAATATTGTGATGATGTGTTAATATCATGATACAGTGTTATGCAGTCTTTGTAGTTACATTCAAGTGTGGTTAATATTGTATGTTATTGTACTAGTATTGTGAGTATTGTATGTCTGTTCTTAGAAGGAAAACATACTGTGTTTTATTAGTATATATTCACCTGCCTCGGATAATATTATTGAAGGCATTTAAATATGAGGAAATGATGTGATTACGTCTGGTGTTTGTTTTGTTTTTTCGTTGGTTTATTTTTTTTTTAAGTTTTGTTTTTTTCTTTTGTTTTGTGGTGGATATTGAACCCAGAGATCTGTGCCTGCTCACAATAAACACGTGTTCTACTGCTCTATCCCCACCCCCACACTTGTGTTTTATCAAAACCAATATAACTGCTCTGTCCCCACCCCCACACTTGTGTTTTATCAAAACCAATATAATTAAAATGATGAATATTTAATAAAAAGTGAATATGTGAGATAGGAAGATTTAATGCTAATGATCTCTTTCTGGTGTTAGGGTCTATGTCTAACAGCCACCTAACATTTTATGTTGTATGTCCCGAGCTTTTTATGTTCTCCAAACCTTTTCTTCATAGTGCCTATCTGTGAATACAGCATTATTGCTGAGGCTGCAGCCATAAATAAATCAACTCTTTCCTTACATCCACGCCTCAACTGCATTATAATTAATCACCAAAGCTTATCTTATTCTTCATTAAAAAAGATTTAATGCCATTAGTGAAAAATTACACCATTGTTAGCAAGTCTTATAAAAAATATCTGAATAGTTTAAGAATGTAATAAATATTGTATCTTGGCTATAATAAATT